GGGGGGGTTAGTATATATCCGTAGAAAGGTGGGGAAAAGTTCACCCTTGACACCTCGGGACTATTCAGAAGATGTGCTGTAATGCTTTCACTCTTTGTTGCATGTTAGATGCATCTTGACCCAGTCTGGGCAAAATTAACTGCTGCACGCAGACACTTCTAGCTCTTTACTTGTGCATCTTTTTGGCTTTCAGAATGCATATTTAAGATTTTTATGTCGCCCATAAATCAATTTTACAATACTTTACAGTACTAACCTGTATTTTACTTCATTGAGAAAATTTTGTGTTCATTTTAGTTCTTTGAAGTATGAAACAGTTTTTTAAAAGTTTGTGGGGCGTTTGTTAATCTAGAAGTTTGATCTTGCCTCCTGTGCCGAAGTACCTGGTTCAATGCCCGCTTTGAGCTGGAATAGTTGGTGATTGACTGAGATTTTTTTTCCTGTCTTTTTTTATGCGCTTCGATCCCAGGATTAGTAACATCTCATATCTCAACTCTTCAAACAAAAGAAGGCCTGGCAATGCAAGGTCCAGCAAATTCTGATTCAATTATTGCTAAAAAAACCCAAAAAACCTGATCTTTAAAAACAGCAGCTTATGGCTACCTGAAAGTTGAACAACTCTTTTTGTGTCGTAATGCATTTGGTGCTCCTCTATGGTTGAATTATATATATTACTTTCCCTTCACCATTTGTAAATATTAATATTTGTTTTCTTTGTTCTTATTCTCTCTGTAGGCCAACGAGACGTTGCAGCAGCAGCTGTACCTGCGAGAGTCTTCCTCCCTTGCCCTGCAGAACGCCAAAGCTCAGATGCTGCAGCTGAAAGCCATTGTTATCAGCAAAGACTCGCAGGTGGATGCTCTGTCTCAGGAGATTTTAGCCAAGGAGGAGGCAATACAGAAGTTGTCATCAGAAGCTGTAGTGACTTCATCAAATACTACTGTTGTTTCAGCCGCAGACAGTTCATCTCATGTCAATGTTCTAGAAGAAAAACTTGCAGAGAAAGTGCGCGAGTGTGAGGTGCTGAATGCGAACCAGCAGCAGTGGCTTGTAAAGGAAGAAGAGTTATTGGCTGCTGTGAGGTCCAAGTCAGCAGAAATAGAAGTTTTGTCTCAGTCAGAGCAGAACTTGATGCAACAGGAACTGCAGCTGAAGCAGGCATGTGATGAATTGCAAAGGAGTGTTGACGAACTGCGCTCTGATGTGTCTGAGAGTGAGAAGATATCGTGCCTAGAGTTTCAGTTGTCAGAATTGAGACGAGCTCATGAAAGCGATGTGAACGAAATCAGTTTGTTGAACCGGGCCAATGAGGAGCTTGAAGAAATGTCCAGGAAATACTACGAATGTCTTTCTAATTATGAATCTTTGACTTCCAAGCATACGCATTTGAATGCACAATACACGTCATGTCTTTCTGAAGTTGACCTTTTAAAGGCAGCAAATACTGATCTCCAGACTGAAATAGAGGCTGCACATGCCAGCAGTGCACACTTGGTGACGCTACAGGAGGAACTGGGTGCCTTGAGGGAATTCTCTGACAAAGAGTCAAGTGAGAAGGCATCAGCTCTTGCAGCTTTTGCAGAAGCAGAGCTGCGCTTCACAAGTGAGACAGAGAGGTTGAAAAACAAAGTGAATGAGTTACAGGATGAAGTGTGCTGTCTTCGTACTGAACTCGATGCGTCTCATGAGAGTCTGAGGCAAAAAGCCGAAACGACTCATGGACCAGTGGAGGCAGTTTCTGAATCTGTGAAAGCACTTTCTGCAACATTCACTGAGCAGGAGAGTCAATCAGGATTACTGAACAACACAGAAGATTCAATGACTCTATCGTCTTCTTTGGAGTTGGAGAAAGATACCAATGGGATGAGAGTGTATGAAGATGGAAGACCCTCCCGTCCTCACAGAGGAAGGGTGAGTGATGAAAGTGCAGGTGTTTTGGAGAAGGAACTGCAGGTTTCTAGTATTACTGTGAATGAACTGGAAGTGAAGGTGTTGGAGCTGGAATCTCAAAACAAAACTCTTTCTGAAGAGATTGTCCGTCTACAGGAGGGTATGCTCCTAGATTCAAACCTCTCTGCCAGTAAAATTCATGAGAAAGTTTCAAGTCTTGAAGCTGAGTCTGACAGTTCAATTTCAGCGAAGGATTTTGCTATACAAACTTTAAAGGAAGCAGAGAGCGACTTGAGAAATCGGTGTGCTGCTTTATCCCAAGAGTTAGACGGGAAATGTGAACGGGACAGACTGCTGGAAGAAGTCACAGGCGAGCGAGACAGGCTGCTGCTCACTGTGAACTCTCTCACCACAGACATCAGTTCTTTAAAGGAGGAACTGAGCAGAGACAGCAACAAAGGTGAAGGTGATGTCAATTCTGACTGGCCTCATCAACTGGACAAAAACATTGACATTCCTGCTCTCGAGAGTAATATTTTAGCAGAGGAGGTGAAGGGTCTTAGTACAGAACTAGGTGACGTGCAAGCTGTGTTGAACTATGAGAGGCAGGCGGCGAAGCGGCTCACGGGAGAGAACACTAGACAAATTGAGGGGCTGACATTGAAAGTCACTGAGTTGCAGGCTGCCCTTGAGCACTATGAGAATCTCAACCATCAGTATCAGGGGGATATTGAGCGACTGAAAGCAGCCCTATCAGCATCTGTGGCAGATCTTGCAGAGGCTAGGCAGGGTCAGTTGCAAGCTCAGGTCGAAAGTCACAATTCAGTTCAGAATGATGTCATAGATAGTGTTCCCATCCAGGTTTCTGCTTCATTATTTCAGGCGGCAGACAACAGTAGTCTGATGGAGATGTCCAACAGTACTATGCAGCAGGAGATCTACAAGAATGAAGCCAGCAATGAGGAACAAGATCTGGCCAGGAATGTTGAGGAACTTCAGGGCCAGCTGGAGACCACTGTGTCCCAATGGCAAAGGCTGCAGATTATTGTTCAGGAGAAAGAAATCGAGGTACAGAATCTCCAGGAGGAGCTTGATGAGCAGAAGAGAATTTGTGCCACTCAGAGGAGGATGTTTGAGGAGGAGCTTAGCACTGTTAAGGAAGAGCTGGAGTCTGTGACCACGAGCAGGAGTTCTGAGGATAGATGGGCTGTTGAACAGGAGCAAGAGTTGGACTCCTTGAGAGTAGAACTAGAAGTCTTGAGGTCGCAGTCAGCTTCGCATTCAGAGAAAGCTGTTGAGCCAGTAGGACTTATAGATCAGAGAGAAAAGGAAGACTATGAGGCGAGGTTGAGTGATCTCATAGAAAATCTGACAGCTCGGGAGTCAGAGATTGTACTGCTGAAAGATTCGATCGGAGCTAACAAAGGTATTATTGCTGAACTTACAAGTAAATTATGTGACAGTGAAACTCAAAAATCTGATCTTGTCACCAAGCTTACGAATCAGACAAGTGAAATGCATCTCCAGGCTGCTGAAGGGACCAGACTGGCCAGTGAAAGAGACAATCAAATTTCTGAATTGACCGTTCAGGTCAGTGAAAGAGATGCCCAGATTACTGAACTGTCTAGCCATGTGAATCAGAGGGACAATTATATCTCAGAGTTGACTACTCAAGTCAGTCAAAAGGATGTGCAGATCTCAGAATTGACCAATCAAATTATGCACAGGGACAGTGAAATTACAGAACTTGCAAGTCATTTGAGTGAAAAGGAAAATAATATTACAGTAGTGGCAGGTCAACTTAGTGAAAAAGAGCATCAAATCTCAGGATTGACGTCTCAAGTGAGTGAAAAAGACAGTCAAATTTCAGAACTAATGAGTCAAGTGAATGGAAAAGATAGTGAGATTGTGGAACTGACTTGTCAGACGAGTGAAAGGGACACTCAGATTGCAGAACTGTCCAATCAAGTAAGAGAAAAAGAGGCCCAGATTTCAGAGATAAATGTCAACTGCAGTGACTTAGATCATCAGGTAGAGGAACTGAAGAGAGCTGTAGCACGTGAGGAGGCTCAGAAGGCAGAATTATGCAGTCAGAGTAGTGAGAGAGAGGCTCGTGTGTCTGAGCTAATGCAACAGGTCTCAGAGCAGGGACAAAGAATAGAGGAACTAGTCAGCAGTCTTGGGGAGAAGGATCAACAAGTGGATGTGCTGAAGGCCGAGAGTGCACAGGGAATGGCAGATGCTGATGAACTGAAGAATTTGAAAACTACCAAAGAGGAGGAGATCAAGGCGTTGCAATCCCGGTGTGAGGAATGGAATTTGGCATGCTCAGAAAGTAATGAGCAAGTCAGCGAGTTGAAAAAATCTTTACTCGAGAAAGAGACAGAAGAGAAGGAGTTGCAGAGTCGCTTGAGGAGTTTGGAGGAGCAATTGAAAATACTGAGTTCTACTCAAGTGGAGAATGAGAAGGCCATGCTATTGGAGAAAAACGCTGAGATACAAAATCTGGAAACTTTGGTAGTGGAAGTGAGAAGCAAAATGTCTGGTCTGGAGTCTGAGTTGTCTGAAAAGAGTGAAACAATTTCTGAAATGGAGAAAACAATGTCTGACAAGGAAGCAAAAATGCAGTCTGCTCTGTCGGAGTATGAAACAGAACTGTGTGAACTGAGGAGTGTTCTAAAAGACAGAGAGGTTGGGATGGAACTTCTGGCATGTCAGCTGGGAGAGAAAGGGGAACAACTGGTTGAACTCACTAGTCACAATAGGCACTTGGAGGGTCAGTGTCACAATCTGAAGACCTGTGTGGAAGGGAAAGAAGGGAATATTTCTGAGCTTAAGATTCAGCTGGAGGAGGCAGAGGTTTCTTGCAGTGAGTTAAAAAGTCAGGGAAGTGACAAGGAGGATGAGTTAAAAAGTCTGTCTGTTCAAGTATCTGAGTTAAATGGTGAAGTGATGGGACTTACACAGACGTTGTCAGAGAGCCAGGGGAGAATCTCAGCTCTGACGGATGAGCTTTCTGTGGTGCAGATGAAATATGATGAAAGTGTAAGACAAGTGTCAGATCAAGGCAATGCGATATCTGAGCTCACAAGTCAAGAGGAATTGAATCAAGTTCGGATCTTGGAGTTGACTGAAACACTGGAGCAGAAAAATGCTCTTGTTTTAGAAAAGGACAGCGCTCTAGCAGCTGTTCAAGAGGAACTAGACCGACTTGGAACTAGCTTAGAGGATAAAGGTACAGAACTTTTGGCTCTACAATCGTCAGCACAGGAGAAAGAATCTCAAGTGGCCAAGTTGACCGACACTGTTGCCAGAGATGAGCAAGAAATTTCTGATTTGAGGAACAAACTGGTGGCAATGGAAGCAGAAATGTCTGGTAGAGAAGATGCTACAACAGAAGTTCAGATACAGTGTTCAGAACAGGCAGTCAGGGTGGCAGAGGTGGAAAGTATGCTGAACGAAAAAGACAATGAGATGGATCGTGTTAGTAAATGCATGGCTGAAAAGACTGAAAGAATCCAGTCTTTAGAGGAGACTGTAACAGAACAACATACCAAAATTATGGAACTTTCAAAGGTTGTTGTAGACAAAGAAGAACAATGTTTAAAACAACAGGAATGTCTTGAGAAAGTAGAACGTTCAGTACAGAGGGAAGAAGACACCATACAGAGCCTACGGGACAGGGCTTCTGTGTGTGAATCTGAGCTGTGTAGCGAGAGGGAGAAGCTGTGGGCAAGAGAGGCAGATCTAAGCCAGTTGAAGGTGTCCTTAATTCGTAAGGCTGGGGAGTTGACTGGTGTGCAAGAGACTTTGTCCTCTGCTCAGACAGAACTGTCTCAGGCTAGAGAACAACTACAGCTAAAAGAAGAAAGACTTTTAGAGGTGCTCACTCTTAATAGTGCCTTAGAGGTGAATGAAAAAGAGCTTCAAGAGAAAATCAAATGTGTCAGTGAAGAGTTTGAAGTAATGAAAGCTCAGAACATCACCGCCATAAATGATTTAGAAACAGAGAGACAAGAAAGTAAGAGATTGATACACACACTTGAAGAAAAAGCTGCAGATTTGGAGTCAATGTGTGTGGACAAAACAAGCTTGGAAAAACAAGTGGACGATCTGAGAAGTGAAGTAGAGACTGCTAGATTGTTTTCAGAGAAAGTACAGCTGGAGCAAAGTGAGAGGCAGACAAGTGTTGATGAGCGGAGACAAGGTTTAGAAAGTGAGTTGGCAGAAGTAAAGCTCCAAAGTGACAGTAAAAATGCTCAAGTGGCTGAACTGACAGAGCGAGTAGAGACTTTGAGCACTCAACTGCGTCACAGTGAAGGACTATGTCAGTGTCTGAAAGCAACTCTGTCTTACCAGCGAGAGGGTCAGGAGGAGAAAGATTCTCTTGCTGTTTCTCTACAACTGCAGTGTGACCACAATGCTGAGAAAATATCTGATTTGACTCAGTCATTGTCCCAGCAGCAGAGTGTGGTGTCAGAACTGGAAGATTTGAATGCAACTTTGCGCCAACAGCTCAGCGATCTCTCTTCATCAGCAGAATCTGCTGCTGTGCAAAAGTCTGATCTGGAGCGAGAGTTGTTTAAACTGCGTGCAGACTTGGAGTTTCATGAGAACAGCAGCACTCAGTACATGGTGGAGAACAAGCAGCTGCAAGAGAAACTACACCAGGCCACAGCCAATATGGAGCGGCTGGAAGCCACGGCCTTTGACCTCAGGCACGATTGTGACATGCATCTCAAGGATGTGGCTGACCTCAAGCAGGAACTGGAACAGAAAGAAACTGCTGCTGCTGCCTTGACAGAAGATGTGGCCAATGCTAGAGCGTGGGCGACAAGAGGTGCAGAGGAAAAGGAGCTTTTGAAAGCCAACTTTGACTCCTGTATGGAGGAGATGCAACAGAGGCTTGCAGAACAGGAGGCTGAAGGCAGACGTCTGAGGTGTCAGTTGACGGAGGAGACTCGCAGTGTGCACCAGGATCAGGACCAGGTGAAGGAGATGTATGAACAGCAGATAGCCCTTCTGGAGGAGAAGCTAGTGGGAGCTGAAAGAGAAAGTGACCGGCTAGACAAGGAGCTGGCTGAGGCTAAGGCAAAGATGATCAGCACGAAAGAAGCGTATGAGCTGCAGCTGTCGGAGCAGGAGCTGAGTGTGCAGTCCAGCAGCTCAGAAGTGGCCAAACTGAAAGACCAACTGGTCAAAGCAGCGGGCAATCATGAGTGTGCGATTGCTGGTCTCAAAAAGCTGCATGAGATACAGACTACTGAACTAGAAGAGAACTGTATATCCGCGGAGAGGACAGTGGCCGAGCAGAAACGACAAATCAATGAACTGACCATGAAATGGAAGAGGGAGAAAAATGACCTGGAGCAAGGGTTTGAAATTCAAATATCAGACATGGAGGAGAAGAGACGCTTCAATGAGATGGAGATTGCTCGTCTGAAGAGACATCTCGATGAAATGAAGAGTGACCATGCCAAGGAAGTAGAACATCTGGAGAAAAGCTATGAAGTGCGTCTGTTTGAACTGGAGGACAAGTTCTGCATGGCCACATCAGAACTGGAGAGGGTGAAAAAGTCTCTGATGAATGCTGAGGGAGATTTCTCTGGAGAACGTCAGTCACTTGAGGCTAAAGTGGAAGATCTTGAGGCCACACGCCGAGATCTTCAGGTGAAAGGTATGTCATTAGAAGATGAAGTGGCGACATTAAGATCAGAAAACATGAGTCGAGAGGAAGAAATGAAAGCCATCCTCCAGCAGGCAGCGGAAAGGCAGCAACAGAACAGGCAGGAAATGAGTTCTGAGATTTTGCAGCTGAGAGAGAGGCTAGAGACCATGGATGCTACACACAGCGATGATGTGGCTACATTGAAGAGCGATTATGAGGAACAGATCAGGGACTTGAAGTCAAGGAACAATCAGCTGTTGGAGAAGGTTCAGTCCATGGAGATGCACATAGAACATGACACAGCTCTGAGAGACAGTGAGAACCAAAAGGAGGGAGATGGTAAGGAGGTGCCTGAGACCGATGTCTCTGTACAATCTCAGATATCCTCTTTGAATGAAGAAAATACTTTACTAAGGAGGAAATTACTGAAACAGAAGAGCATTGTGGCCAAACTGAGAATGAAGTCGGGGGTGGAGGATATCTGCCCACCTTATCCACTCACCTCACAGAGCAGCTTGATGCCATCACTGGCGCGGTCTGAGAGCGACAGCGGTGAGGATTGCTTCTCCCCAGTGGTGGGCCCAACATCGGTGGTTGAAGGCTTTGTGGCGGAGAGGTCGGAGGTGGCTTCTGTAGCTGGCCTGGGTTCCTCTCCTTCAGACAGTTTGAGAGAGCCAGACTTTGTAGCGGAGAAAAGTGACATGTTCCAGCCTGAGGTCATTACAGAGCGAGTCATTGAAGCCCAGGAACACCCAGCTGCTCAGCTCAACATACACCCTATCCGAGATGAGATTGTAGCGGAAGGATTCCAGCCTGAGACTCCTGATCAATTCTTCATGGAGACAATTGAGGAGCCTAATACCCCTCTCAACTGGCCCAAAGATTTGTCTGTGGGCCTTTCACCCTCTTTGAACAGGGCTGAACAGTTTAACTTCGAGGTCATTCCACCTACATCTATGCATGATGGTAAACCTTTGCCGTCAGACTCTCAGCCTGAAAATGTCAGTTCAGCTGATTTAGTCAAGGGGACAGACTCTACTGATTCTAACACCAACTGCCTTACTTCAAACGAGCACAGTAGCCAGACGATACTCTCGGAGTCAGAGTTTGATTTAAGGTTGAAGCACGTGAAAGAAGAGCTTGAGGAGCAATATGTCGGGCGTTTACGGAGACAGGAAGTTGACCTAACACACCAGTATGACATGAAGGAGGAGAGCTACCGTCGTGAGATGGAACAGCACTTTGAGCAGAAGGTCAAGGCAGTTAGATATGAGTGGGAGCGAAAGTTCACCAAGGCCCTGCAGAAGGTACGTAAGGAGATGGAGAAACGACATCAGAAAGAGCTGAGGAGGGCCCAACTTATGCCAGCGTTTGTCAAGACGTCACCGTCTTCTCAAGGTCTACATCCTGATGATGGTGAAGATGATGATGACACAGATGACGGGGAGAGAGCTTCTATGGCGAACCAATCTGCAGATGAGAGTGGACCAGGCTCATCCGAGACCAACGAGGGCCTGGGGGAAGTCGTGGAACAGCTGCACAGAGAGAACCAGGTGAATGCAATAATCCCTGTACTGTTTCTTAAAAGAACATTTCTGTTTGAATAATAACCATTCGTGCAATGTTTGGGTAAAAGTCCCTCTACATGTGATTCTCTTTAGTAACAAGTTTTCAAAGAAAGGTGTTTCTGTGTATTGCAATTAACCAAAGAAAAAAATCTGCTTGTTTAGATTTTCATTAATTATCTTTCCTTGTCTCGTTGCTGACATTCTTTAACATTTTAAATCTCACTGCAGTTAACTCATGAAAGTATTCATTAAGTAAAAAATAGTAAATGCACCTGGGCAAAACAGAATATTTGTTTTTCTTTTGAGGCAATTGTGACAGTTTTTCACTAAGTCTCTTGTGGATTTCATTTGAATTACTTTCAGTGTATTACTTTACTTAATCCAAGTGTATAATTCTGTTCAAATCATTAACAGTATATTGCTTTATGTAATCCAAGTGTGACCATTAACCGTGTTCTTAATATTTTCAAATCTGTTTTCCACCCCAGGAACTGGCTGAGGTTCGTGATGTCCTCCTCAAGCAGATAGAGATTTCTCAGGCTCGGGGTTTGCACTCACGTGTTCAGCACGAGCTACAGTCAATGCTGACCACGCGGGAGGGGTCAACCTCTCTCTCCTCCAACACATCGACACCCACCCTGGTACCGACTTCCCCATCTGCCGACAAGTCAAAGGGCTTGGAGAGTGATCAGCTGGACACTTCAGGCATCTCAGAGGAGGTCAACTCGGTGCACAGCGAATCAAGTTCTGCGAGAGAGCGCTTCTTGTGGGAGCTGGAGGAGATGTCCCAGCAGTCCAGCCAGGACCTGCCCTTGGAGTGGGAGCTGACCAGCACTTTACCGGCCAGTGCCGACTTTGAGGAGGAGCCTGACCAGCCCATTGGCAGTGTGTGGGAGGTGTTTGACGGCCGCTGCCTGCGTCAGGACTGCCACGAGGTGAGACACAACTACTCCCGGCTCTACCAATGGGTTCTTAAACATGGTGGAGATGCTTTTCCCCCAGGCCTTTCTGATCTTAAGTTATTCCCCCTTTTTGTTGGTGCGTCTGGCAGTGTTGTCGTTAGTCCTGATAGATCAGTTGGACACGCTAGTGAGTCCACCAAGTCTGATTTGTTTGAATCTGCTGAGCATGATAGCTGTTCTAGTTCTGTGGATTTGGCAGATCAATCTCTTCTAGCCAAAATAAAATCATTAGAAACTGATAAAGTGCAGCTAGAGAACAAGGTAACCTCTCAGATAGATGTCTTCAATAAAGAGAAAAATGAAATGCAGCAGGAATACAAGGCTATGCATGAACGGCTTCTCTCCACTACTCTGAACAGACGAGAAAAAGAGGAAGAGTTAAGGAGGCAAAATGTGGACCTGAAGAAGTCTATACGAGAACTACAAGTAGCCTTAAGCCAAGGGAATGAAGAGGTGCAGGAATTCCAAGATCCAGTTGCCGCGCTTGCCGAGGATGATGTCAATGTTGTCTCCTCCGCCAATGAGGCTTCAGCTTTTGAAGAAGAAAAGTCACAGAGAGAGCTTCAATATCTGCAGCTTCTGCTGATGGAGAAGGAAGAAGTGATAGCGCAACTTCGTATTGAAGTCAAATCTCTACAGACCAGTGGAAAGGTCTCAGAACAGTTCGTCAGCGCAGTCCGAAATGAAGACTTGAAGATCCGTGCACTAGAAGAAAAGTTGAAAACTCAAGAAGAACTGGTGACAGTGAAAGAGAAAGTTATCCGGAACTTGCAGTCAGACCTGAACAGACTAATTTACCCAAAGGATGCCCTGGAAGACAAGTCCTTTCATTCCATTAACAGTGACCAGAGAGATCCTTCAAGCAATGTAGATGGCAGTAATGAAGTCAACAGCGGTCAAGAAGCTTTTTCTGACTATGGAAAAGTTTTGAGCTTGGATGTCAAAAATTTTGAACAGGAGAATGGGTCTGTTGGTCAAGCATTTGTTGCAGGGATGGATACTTCCTCTTCTACAGACAAGGAAGGAGAAGATAGTAAGTCGTCTGATGTATTTGTATCACAGTTTGACTTGAAGCTACCTGACATGACCTCCCCTCTAACCCTTGATGTGGAAACAAGGTCTGTGGGCAGCTCGGTCTTGTCTTCTGGCAGTATTATTCTGAAGGTCACTCCAGACGGGGACTCCCGGAGCAGCAAGTCAGGTGGGGATTCCCCCTTGGACCTTCAAGACCAGGAGCTGGCGGAGGAGTTAGGTCGTTTGCGACAAGATTTGAAGGAGACCAAGGACATTTACTCAAAGGAGAATACTCTTTTGCAGGAGGCTTTGAACAGGGAACAGCGGGTTAAAGATCTCGTTTTGAGTCGTTCTGGGTCTGGTAATACTCCATCCGTCTGGGTTTCAGAATCTCGAGACAGGCAGGAAAGTCCAGCTGCGGGGAGAACAGACGGGTCAAAGTCCGTGATGACATCAGACCAGGTTGAGATTGTGACTCAGAAGTTGTCCATCTGCCTGGAGCAGAACAGAATGCTTGAAGGGGAGAACTCTACCCTGCGGACGAGGGTAAGAGAGCAGGAGGCTATAATAGTGCTTCTGAAGGAAAGGTTGAGACAAAAGGAACATGATGGTGACCAGTGGAGGAGGTCGTTTGGTGATCAGTTGGCTGCACTTCAGGCACAGAGGAACGACCTTCTGCAACTGTTGAGAGACAGAGAGGAGAACAAGTCGGACTCACTTTTGTCGGAGTCGCTGGGCGCTGAAGCGTTGCGGGAGGAGAGCATCCGTCGTGTGCAGGAAGACCTTATGGCCAAGATGGAAGAGCTAGATCATCTTCACCAGATGTTGACCCAACGTCAGGTGGAGCTCCAACACTGTGAGGCAGAGAGGAGACATTTAGAGCAACTTTGTCTGCTCAAGGACATGACTGAGGTACAGCTCATGAAGCAGAAGCGACTCATGGAGGAGCAGGTGTCGGAGATCGAGCTGCGACTTCGAGATAGGGAGACGACTCTGGTGGAGGAGAAGTCACGACTGCTGCGTGAATTGCGTGAGAAGGACGAGCATCTGTCTCGAATGTCAAGGTCACAGCCTTCGTCTCTAGTCTCCTCGCCAAGAGGCATGCCAAGGTCAGCATCACTCAGCGATTTATTCCACAACAATAGCTTAGTAGAGGAGGACAAAGGAACAAGACGGCACAGCTCTAGTGCAAAGAGTGTGCCCAGCCCTGAAGATGCAGACAAGCATCACCTTGAAGCTATTGAGAAACTGCGGTCCAAATTGAAGTTGGAATACAATCTAAGGTCCTCGAGGATTGCAGAGTCCCAGGCCTCTGCCATTGCTTCGTACTGGCTTCGACACAACAAACAGGTGTAGTGGAGGGAGGCTGTAGCAGGCTGCTCTTTGTATCCTGCCGTGTTATGGTCAAAGAGTTCCTCACAAAGAGGGATGTTGCTAAATGTGATATAATTCTATTCGTTCTCGAGGTTGTTGATCTGATACCAAGTGATCCTCAAATACCAGAAAAAAATCCAAATGTTTTTTTTTCTGCTCGCAGATAATTCGGTTTTGTTTTATGTATGCAGTTGAACTACTGTTGAACCTGTTCCAGAGGCCGCTTGTGAAATAAGATCCCTTTTCTTTGAAACCATTTTATTTTCTCTCTCTCATGAACCCGTGCATATATAATTGCAACTGAGTCGATGTAGCCAAGGTGAATAACATCATATAAAAATGTAGATTTGTGTATTCGGAATCTACTAAGTTGGTCAGGCTATATATATCCCTTTAAGTGTGACTGATTGTCGGTCAGAGCTTGATTGCAAACTTGAATATTATCAGTCAAGAGTCAATCTGTTGGGTTTTTTTTTTTTCTGAAAACAAAACATTAAATCTGGGAATGATGGAGGAAAACTCCTGGGTGCTCATAAAATACTTTAGCAGCCTGAGCATTTCTTTTCATTACTTATGACCAGAAAGTTAACTTTATTTGTTTGGTTTGGTGGGAGGAGGGGGGCATCTTGTTTATATATGTCCAAGATGATTATTCTGCTCCTAAATAACGGTCAGTGGTCTAGTACAGGTTCAACAGTCTGTATTGCTTTTTTAAATTCTCTTTTTTTTTTTTTTTTTAGATGTTTGATTGTTACAGGGGCCAGTTGGAGTTGTTGATTTGGTTATTGTTGTTGTTATTGTGATCTTGATATATGTTTACATCAAAGAAAAGATGCTGATTTCTCATTTTAGGGGAGCAAAACCGCATTTGATGTACTTTTCACTACTGATGTGATCGTGTATTCATAAAAAAAAAAGTATGGCTGATATTTTGTTTGTACATTGTTATTTTGGTACACTGCTATGCCACAATGTTTTTCTCTGTCTGCTGAGGGGATAATTTGTCCATCTGGTTGTTATAGTATTATGGAAAGTCTGCTGTATTCCATGTTTGTTTTACCAGTTGGTTCCCCTTTCTGTTGTTCCCTTTGTTTTATATTTTCTATTTTTTGCATGTTCTTTGGATATTGTTTGCATGTTTTTATATATTTGTGGTGATGGTCCGAGGGCCGTAGAAGGACTTTTTACTTAATTATTGTTTTGTATAGTTACTTGCAGTTCTCATACTTTATTGAAATACATGCAATTTAAAGGTTAAAGATATAAATATGTAAAGTAGGAATAAAACTCCATAACAAGAATTATGATCTCATAGTCATAGTATGTCGTTGAAGGAACGGTGAAATCTTTAATCATGTGAGAGGAATTTGTTTCCTGTTATCCTCTTTTTTTAATTAGAGAGAATTGGACACTAAAAGCGGTAGACTTCACTGAGGCCTAGACAGTTTAAAATAAACCTTTGATAGTGTATGTGTGGGGAGGAGGTGAGGATGTTAAGGCCATGGATACTGGTCATGAGCTCTCCTCTGTAATACTTTTTTTTTTACTGGAAACATATGATTATAATCACCTCTGTTAATGAATGAGTAGTGCCAACGAACTTTTCATAGTTTGAAGTTCGTGTCAATTTTAATGACTGTTTCAGTACTTATTTTGTTTTGATCATAACTTATAATGATCCGAAAACTCCCAACTCGTACTACATAATGTGCAGATACAATAGGTTGAGATTACGTAACTTTTCTACATGCATCAAGATTTTTAGTTCCTGGCCCCTGTAGGCAAAGTAGCATGCATAATAAGTGTCATGGTGTATCATTTTTATTAAGAAGCTTCGTGGTATTACGAGAAATTTTCTTGTAGAGTTTGTGATATTTTTCAATTCTCTAAATGTTTTTTTTTTTTAAATAATGGCACTATACATTTTTCATTTCTCTTTTCCTACTTTTATCGCAATGTCCCAAATAATTATGATAAATCCCATCACATTTTATGCGCCTATTTTCTCTCCCCCTGAATCTCCCCCCCCCCTTCCTTCTGAATGCAATAATTATCAAATTCAAGTTAAAATAATTTAACTTATAAGCAAATTGCATAGTTCTGATTTCTCCTTAGGAAGACAGTCGACCATACCTAACTGTCTTCCACAAGAATCGCGATATATGTAATTTGTAACATCTTCTCATTTCGTGCACAAACTACTCTGTACTCTACTGTACCGGTATTGTGTTTGCTTCTAACCCTTTTACTTTTATCACTTCCATAATTATTTTGCCTAACACGTGACTAAAATGCAGTCGTCTAGTAGTTTTCATATCCTCTTAATGTAATTATGCACGAGGACACAGGTTCTTCTCCTCTCTTATGAACTACGGGTTAACTCTTAAAGGACGTAATGAACACACGTCCGATGAGCAATAGATGAAAAGCACATTTCTAACCTTCATTCGCAGATCAGAAACACGAATTTGCATATTTCATCGTACGCATGTTATATCACGCCTCTTTCAGTCTGAGATTGAGTAAACAGAAGAGAATAAATGTGAATGAATAACAAAGATTTCGTAAAGTGCCCCAGCACAGCG